CTGCGGTTGTGGGAGAAGGTGGGTGGATGGGCCTAGGTGGGGGTCCTCGGCTGATCTCTGTCCTCTGCAGATGAAGAACTCTACGCTGGCGTCTACATCGACTTCATGGGCACAGATGCAGCCATCTTCCGCACCATGGGCAAGCAGACGGCCATGAGGACAGACCAGTACAACTCACGCTGGCTCAACGGTGAGTTCAGGTGTCATTGGCCCAGGTTCCCTGGGGACCCCACAGCTCCAGCCCTAGAGATGAGACCCATCGTGTTGTACTGCATCCTTCTCCCAGGACAGAGACAGTTGCCAGCATGGACAGGTGGACGGGTGGTGGTGTGGGATGGATGGGTGCGTGGGTGAGTGGACAGACAATGGATGGGTGGATGGATGGATGGACAGATGCGTGGACAGATGATGGACGGATGGGTGGATGGATGGATGGTTGACGGTTAATGGATGGGTGGATGGATGGGTGGATAGATAGATGATGGATGGGTGGATGGATGAATGGATTGATGGATGAATGGATAGGTGGATAGATGGATGGATGACGGGTGGATGAATGGATGCATGATGGCTGGAAGGAAGGAAGGAAGGAAGGAAGGAAGGAAGGAAGGAAGGAAGGAAAATTAGGCAGAAGAATAGAGGCATAGTTGTGTGGGGCATGGTGACAGACATGCTAGGGGCTTTGATGGGTGGCAGGAGCAGCCAGCCGGTGAGAGGTGGGGCTGGCTCTGCCGGAGTCCGTGCGTGGGTTTCTGCAGGGCTGAGATGTCAACCATGTCGCCTGCAATCGGTGACCCCGAGCGCTCATCCTGCCCCCCTCGGAGCACCCCTGCCCGCGGGGCGGCAGCTGAGTAAACAGAGCGGAGCAGATGGGCTGATCCTGCCAGGCCGGGGGGCCGGCGGGGCGGTAACCCGAAGAGGGGGAGCTGTCAGCGCAGGCTGAGCACCGACTGATGGATGGCAGGGAGAAGCTTCCTGAGAAGTTTCCAGGCTGTGTCTTTCCTCCCTGGGGGGGAAGACCAGTTCCCACCGTCCTGGTCGTAGAGCTGCTGGAGCTCTCCACCCTGTGGACCTCAGGGTTGCTCCAGGAGACCTCAGGGATGCGCTGAGCCCCTCCCGGAACTGTGATGACCACCAGAGAGACCCGGTTCCTCAGCCCACCTCTGCAGCTCTGGTCCAGATCCAGCTCTCACCCTGCGACTGCGGCAGTGCTTTTCCAGGAGCAGGGCGATGCTGGAGGAGAGGGGGGCTCAGCATCCCACTGCGGCGTGGGGCAGGGGTCCCGCTGGGCTGACGGTGCCGTGCCGTTCCAGACCCAGCCTTCGTCCGCGCCCAGCTCATCCCTGACAGCAGCGAGAGGAACGACGACAAGCTCTACTTCTTCTTCCGAGAGAAGTCGGCCGATGCCCCGCTGAGCCCTGGGGTCTATTCCCGCATCGGGCGCATCTGCCTGGTAGGTGACGCGGCGGGCGGGCAGGGGAGCAGGCAGGGGTGCAGGCAGGGCTGAGCACGGGGACCCCTCTGTTGCAGAACGATGACGGAGGCCACTGCGGCCTCGTGAACAAGTGGAGCACCTTCCTGAAGGCCCGGCTCGTCTGCT